TCCTCGGGACGCTGAACTGGTCCATTAGTCCCAAGTGACTGAATGTGGAAGCGTCAAGTCCAGCTCTGCTGTGACACCAAGAGTCCGTGGTGTCTCTGGAACCATGCCCCATGGGTCTGTGTGTGCCGAGGCCGGTGTGTTGTTGCAGAAGTCCCGCGTGAAGCTCTCAGCTCTGTCCCCCTTCACCATGGTCTCGGCTTCTCTGGCTCCCTTGTGTGGCAGAGAGTTGGAATCATCTCGTTGGTTTCCGCAGGAAAACTTGCCCGGAATTTGGTTGGGATTGATTCCGTGGACTCTGTGGATCAGTAGGTGGAGAGCTGCTGCACTGACTCAGAGTGTGGTCTTGGTGGTGGCTGCCTCGTTGGCAGCCCTGTGGTCTGTGACCCGTCCCCCCTCCCGTGTCCCCATCTTTGTGCCTCACTCATGTCCAGGGCCCTGCGGGGTCTCCTGCCATGGGGCTGCTGTGCGTGCGGCAGGGGTGACTGTGCATGTCCTCGGCCGGCTGCTGACCTTGACGTGACAGTGGCCACCGGCGTGTTGTCAGCAAGCATGGTGTGTCTGTTGAATGATTATGTGCGTTTTCTCTTTATCTTGTTACTGCGGTGAATTGCCCTGATGTTATGAATGTTATGCTCCCCTCGCACTTCTGGGAGAAGCCCCGCGGGGCCACGGGCGCTGTGTGTGCTGTCTGCACCGACTCCGGTGTCTTCCTGGACCTGTGGGAGGACGTGAAGCCGTCTGGGCCTTGCCTGGGCCTTCGGTTTTCTTTCTCACATTTAAAGATGAAAGATGCAGTTTCTTTGATGGGTCGCTTTTTCGTAGGGTTTTAGTGGACCACTTAGATTTTCTCTTCCTTCTTGTCAGTTTTGATGAGACGTCCTTTTCGGATTGCCGGGAGTAATTCCGACACAGACTGTTGTCAGGGTCGCTCATAACCCTCTTCCCGTGCTCCTGGGTCTCCCGATTTGGGGAGACGGCCTTTCTTCATTCCTGACCTTGGTAAGCTGTGCTTTCTCCGTTTCCTTACTTGGCCTTGCTAGGGATTTATCGGTGTAGCAGCTGCATTAGTCTTCGCAGAGCGTCGGCTCGTGGGTCTTCTGTGCTGTTTGTCTCCTTCTTGATTGGAGTCTTCTGTCCGTTACGCCCTCCCTTCAACATCTTCAGTTCCCTGTTCTTTTTCAGCTTCTTAACATGGAAGATTTGGTCACTTTTTCAAGCCTTCTGTTTTTGATGTTCGCAGTTACCTTTGCTACAAGCTTCACCTCTGCTGGAGCCCACAAGGCCGGAGGTAGCGATTCCTCCTTTTTGTTCTGTGGGCTTTTTCAAGTTTTGTTTTGAACTACCTCTGGTCTCCCGGCAGAGTTGCAGAGACAGCTCCCTGAGCATGCCCTCCATCAGCTTCCCTAGGGCACGCATCGCCCACAGCCTGGCCACAGGGTTGCTGTGAGCCGCCTCGCCGTCCTGGGCCTCTTCCCGTCTGCGACCATCTCTCCCAGCCTGGACACACTCGAACAGTCCTGGCACTTCGGAGTCTGCTGTGGATTTGGGGTGATCCCTTGTCTTTGCCCCACGTAGGGTGTACCTGGGCTCCCGGGCCTGGCATGCTGCCACGCTCCTACCTTTCCTATGCTGTGCTCCTTAGAGACCAGTCCCCGAGGCCGGCCCACACAGACGGAGGAGGTGTGCCTGCGCCAGGGGGCGAAGCCGTGGGCAGATGGGCCGCGCTTCTCCTCCAAGTGTGGCGTGGCCCCCACGCTGCCCTGCTGTCCGCCTCCCTTCTGCAGTGCAGTGCTCACGCCCGTGGCCCGCCCCCAGGTGTGTGTGTAGAGCCCTTGCTCCGCAGGACTGCTGCCCCATGGCGTCCGTTGTCCTTATGCCATGTCCTTGTTCTTTCTGATAACCTCCTGCAGGAGTCTGCGCCCCGTCTGGAGGGAGAGGTCTCTCGAGCCAGCTGCGAGCCTCCCCCGTGGACCCCGCCGGCAGCCGCTCTTCCTCCACCCCCGAGCCCACTGTCAAGGTCTTTATCTGTGTCTGCTCAGCCGTTCGGTTCATTTTGAGTTTTGTTTTGTTTTATTTTGTTTTTAAGTAGGCTCCACGCCCAGCCTGGGGCTTGAACTCACGACCCTGAGATCAAGAGTCAGACACTCGACTGACTGAGCCACCAGGAGCCCCTAATTTTGAGTTTTAAAAAAAGTTCAGTGATCATATTTTTAATTGTCAAGGGCTGTATCTTTTTAATTATAGCCCCTTGATACATTTCTTTTTTTTTTTTTAAGATTTTATTTGTTTATTTGACAGAGCGGTTGAGAGAGAGCACACCAGTAGGGTGAAGGGCAGAGGGACAAGCAGACTCCCCGCCGAGCAGGGAGCCCGATGCAGGGCTCCTTCCCAGGACCCTGGGTTCATGACCTGAGCCGAAGGCAGTTGCTTCACTGACTGAGCCACCCAGGCGCCCAGATTTTATTTATTTGAGAGAGAGGAGAGAGCAGGGGGGAGGAGCAGAGGGAGAGGGAGAGAAGCAGGCTCCCCGCTGAGCAGGGAGCCCGATGTGGGGCTCCATCCCGGGACTCCGGGATCATGACCTGAGCCGAAGGCAGTCGCTTAACTGACTGAGCCACCAGGCGCCCCTCCCTTGATACATTTCTGTGGATTGGTATCTTTTCTGATATTCTGGAGGATGTCATGGGCTTTGAAAGCTTTTTTCCGTTACCAGTCTGCTTGTGGAGCCTGGTGTTGCTGTTCCCTTTCATTGCCCTTTCCCACGGAGGTTGCTGATTCTCGGTGTCTGTTGTCATGTCTGCAAAGGGGCTTCTGTCGCGGGGTGCCCCTGGAGCTGGTCACAGGAGTCGCTGTGACGCGTGGCCCTGCTGGGGCACCCCAGTGTCTGCTGCACTGGCCTGACCTTGGGGCCCAGCTGGTGTCACCAAGGTCCTCCTGGTCTGGGGGTTTGTGGGGGGGGTGTCCTGTGGACAGAGACCCTGAGACTCAAGCAGTTCTGACTGAGACCCTTCTTTCTGCATGTTCCTGGGGCACTTGCCTGGCCCCGGCCCTGCGCTGGGTTCATTTTCTTGCTCTCCTGGCCGTTGCCACTGGCTTGAATGGAAAGATGGGCCTAATTTTCACAAAATGCCAAAATGTGGAAGGCAACCATGTGCTAGTGTGTTTACTTTTAGCATTCATTTTTTGGGAGGAAGCCTAATGAGAATAAGCTATGGTTAGTTGATTAGGAATGGTTTTACAAGAATTTATACTTATTAACGTTGTACAATTGTACGTGCATGTCTGCATCATGGGATTTATTCAGTTTGCCTATTGTGCTTGCTAACCTCGCATGGAGTAAAAAATTACTTGGGGGTGGCTGGGGGGTGACTGCTAATGGGCACAGGGTTTCTTTTGGGGTCATGAAATATTCTGAATTGTGATGAATATGCTAAAACTATTTTTTTAAAGATTTTATTTATTTGAGAGAGAGCATGGACACATGTGCACACAAGTGGGGGTGGGGCAGAGGCAGAGGGAGAAGCAGGCTCCCCACTGAGCAGGGAGCCCGATGCGGGGCTCCATCCCAGGACCCCGGGATCATGACCTGAGCCGAAGGCAGACGCTTCACCGACTGAGCCACCCAGGCGCCCCTAAAATGATTAAATTGTATACCTTAAGTGGGTAGATTTTACAGTATGTGAATTATATACAATATATTATAAGATAACTGCAATCATTCCGAGCCCCCAAGCCACCAGGGAGCCCCCCACTTTGTTCCAAGAACTCCCAGACGGGCATCAGCCAACAGGTAGGGGCTCACAGGTCCTCCATCACAGGCGTGCTGGGCTGAGTGTGTGTGCCCATGGGGAGCCAGTGATAGGCCCCTTTCTGTCCAGTCAGTCAAGGCTGTGGTTCTGTGTCGGTTCAGCCCGGCTGGAGGGCTCCAGGCAGGGCAGGGGTGCTCCACTGGGAGGGGTGCTGACCATCTGGCCCCCCAGCTGCCAGAGCACATGCCAGCTGCTGGTCCCTCGGGGCACTGGCTCCCGGGGTCCCCGCCTGTGGCTGGCGGTCATTGTTTGCCACATCTGTGGGGCGGGCAGGCCAGGCCGTGGGACCTGAGGAAGCCACACAGCCCTCGCCTTCCCCAGACTACTGTCCTTGTCAGAGGGCAGGGGAATCTGCACGTAGCTCTTTGTGGGCAACTTGCACGAGTCCCTGCCTTCTTTCCCTGGCCCAGCTTAGGGTGGCCTTCACCAAGAGAGAGTGGATCTGGGGAGCCAGGGCTGCTGGGTACAGTGGGGAGTCTGTGTGCTGGGGTCCACGGTGGTCGCTGGGAGTGGGCTGTGGGCGGGTGCTACAATCTAGCTCTTGCTCTGTCCCGATGTGGGCTTTGGGCTTCCTGGTTCTGTGCTGTGTGGCCCGTGGCCCGCGGCAACCCTTCCTGTCCACACACACAGCGGGTGCGTCTCCTCTCCTGCTGCCGCCCGCAGTGGGAGGGGCTTACCCAGGGGCAGGAGTGCACATTATGTCGCGGAGTCCGCAGACATCCCGGCAGCCCCTTCCGTCCCCGAATCTGCCAGGTGCTGCCCCTGCCCTTGCCCAGGCAGCGCATGGCAGGCTGGAGGCTGGCCTGGGGGCAGCTGGCCAGGACACATGGGTCCCTGCTGGGAAGGCTGGGTGGGCATGGCCAGGCTCCTGGCGGTTGGAGCAGGCCCAGGGCACTAGCCGTGGGGCCCATGGCCGTCAGGCCATGTCATCAGCCCCTGTCGGGAGGTCGTGTCTGTGTGGAGCACGTGGTGATGTTCAGCGGTGAGGAGTAGCCCCAGCCTGGCCGACACACAACCCTTTGCAGGCACCGATGCCGTTTGGGTGCAGAGAGGAGTGTGAATCCCAGGCCCCCGTGTCCACACAGAAGGCTGGGGACACATGAGAAGTGAACCTGACAGCTTAGAAGGGGGAGGGCCAGTCTGTGTCCTTCCCGCTGGGAACCAGTGGTAACGTCTCATGTTGTGTCCTAGGGAGGCGTCAGATCCACCACCTGGGGAGCCAGCTGCAGCTGAACCAGCACTGCCTGGACACAGCCTTCAACTTCTTCAAGATGGCCGTGAGCAAGCACCTGACCCGCGGCCGCAAGATGGCCCACGTGATCGCGGCCTGCCTCTACCTGGTGTGCCGCACGGAGGGCACACCGCGTATCCTTTGCTGCGGGGGCCTCTCAGAGGAGCCCCGTGTTGGCTCCGTGTGGGCCGTCCTCCCTCCGACCTGGGCTCAGTCGGTCCAGTAATCCGCTGTTTATGAGGCTTCCTGGACTCGAGTGGCTTTTCACCAGCTGGGAACTGGGAAGCTGGGCACCTTGGCGAGGACAGAGCTCACTCCGCCTGTGGCTGGCTGCTCTCCCGCTGTCCTCCTGCCCCCCACCATCGGCTGGGCCTTCTTGGAGAGGACGGGGGTCTGTTCCACTCTTGTGCTTGGGCCACCTGCACCCCTGCACGGCGCTGGCAGAATTCCGGCTGGTGCTTCCCCTGGGAGAGCCTTGTGGGCTTCCTCGCCCTCCACCCTGGCTGTCCGCCATCCCTCTGGGCTCCGTTCACCTCTGGTCCCGTGTCCTTGTTTCATGTAGCACGGCCTCCGGTGGTTTCCTGCAGGTGGTCTCCCTCCACCAGTGCTCTTGGGGACGGCCTGGTGGACTCCAGGATTTGGACAGCAGTGCCCACAGTCTTCTGCTCCCGGGCTCCTGTCGAGCAGCTGGGTGCCCCAACCCTGGGCTCTGCCTGGGGTGGGCGTGCTGTTCCCTGGAGGCCTTTGTTCTCTCCAAGCTGTGGACCCAGAGTCCCTGCCGCGGCCTCTCGAGCCGCTTACGGTTCCTCCCTTGGCCTCACTCTTGCTCACGGCACAGCCCGCCATCTGCCTGCTCGCGTGTTCTCCTGGCTCCCACTTCCCCTTCACTTCGGGGGACTCTTTCTCCTGCCACGTCTCTTCATTGCTGCTCCCGTGTCTCCAGCTGGAGGAGCTCTTTGTTTCTTGCTTGTTCAGAGGGCAGCACAGGCCGGGACTGTCCCTTCTGCCACCAGCCCCCAGCCCACCTTTACCTGCTTCCCTCTGCCCCTCCCTGTATGTCTCCAAGGACAACCAAGGAGTTTAAAGAAAATGTTTTTATTTTATTTATTTATTTTTAAAATATTTTATTTATTTATTTGACATAGAGAGACAGAGTGAGCACAAGCAGGGGGAGTGGCAGGCAGAGGCAGAGAGAGAAGCAGACTCCCCACAGAGAAGGGGGAGCCCGATGCGGGACTCGATCCCGGGACTCCGGGACCATGACCTGAGCCGAAGGCAGTCGTTTAACCGACTGAGCCACCCAGGCGCCCAAGAAAATGTTTTTAAATAACTATTTTCTAGATGAGTTTTAGGTTCACAGTGAGATTGTGGGAGAGGTACAGCGATTTCCCGGGGGCCCCACCCCCCACGCACGTCCCCCTCTGGTGCAGCCCCCCCCCCCCCCAGGCGGTGCGTCGGTTACACTGATGAACCTGTGTAGGCACATTAGCCCCGGAGTCCGTGTTCACCGGGAGCTCACTCCTCTGATGGGCCCTGCTGGGTGTCTGTGTAGCCGACAGGCCCGTGGTTGAGAGACGGCCGCGGGGCGGCTGGTTGGCATGTGTGAGAGGCAGCTGGTGTCACTGGGCACAGGAAGTTGCAGATTCAAAGCCACCAGACGCTGACGTGGAGCGGGCTGCCTGCACCGCGTGCTGGCCAGCCGGGGGCTTCTGGAGCCCTGGGGCTGCTGGCCCAGCAGGTCAGTCCTGCCCTGAGCACTGTGCGCGGCTGTGTCCTGGGTCCAGGCCCGGGCCAGGTGTCTGTGTGGCAAGTAGCCTCCCCTCTCGGCTGCGTCCATCCTGGTGGGACCTTCCTGTGGGCAGAACTCTAAGTGAGGCTCACCTTCACGGCGTGTCCTTTACGGCTGATGTGTGCACCGCTTTGCCTGCCCCAGGTCGTGGAAATACTCTCATGGGGTCCCTTCCAGAAGCTTTCGGTTTTACGGGTCCCCTTGGAGTTTAGGATTTCTTTTTTTTTTTTTTTTTTAAACAGACCATTTACAGTTTTTTTTTTTTTAAGTTTTTATTTATTTATTTGACAGAGACAGACACAGCGAGAGAGAGAACACAAGCAGGGGGAGTGGCAGAGGGAGAAGCAGGCTTCCCGCAGAGCAGGGAGCCCGATGCGGGGCTCGATCCCAGGACCCTGGGATCATGACCTGAGCCGAAGGCAGACGCTTAACGACTGAGCCACCCAGGCAGCCCAGAGTTTGGGATTTCTGAGGGGTCGGGTTTGCTTCTCTGCACGGGCCGTCCAGCACACGGTGCGCGAGGGTCTGCCACCGGCGTCTCGGAGCCCTCCTGTGGTCCGCTCGCCTGCCTGTGGGCCAATAGCAGACTGCCAGAACTGCGGCTCAGCCATGATCTGAGGACTGGGAGGGGGAGGCCTCCAGCCACAGCCACCCTGCTGCCTCGGGCGTCTGCACTGCCCTTGGCCCTCTGTCCTTCTGTGCAAGGTTTTGAATCAGGTTGTCTATTCCTGTGAGAAGTCTTGTGTGATTTTTTGATTAGGGTTTATGGATCCACTTGTGGGGGATTGAAAAAGACATTGATGTGAACGATATTGATTCTTTCAATCAGTGACTATCCCTTGTTTCTTCTGGGGTTCCCTACTTGCGGCGACCTTGTGTTACTTTGGACGAGGGGCCTTTCCCATGCTTTGTTCGCTTTATTCCTGAACAAGTGTTTGCACGAACGTCGACGGCCTCTTGGTGATGCACACAAAGACCGTCCAGTTTCATACATTGATGTTATGCCCGAGAGTACAAAATTCAGTTATTAATCTTCCTGTTTGAATGTCGGGATCTCTCGTTTCCTTAGCGTGCCTGTGTGCGGCCAACTCTAGTTCATCCCTTCCGATCTGTGTGTCTGTCACCCGCGTGGCGTGCCTGCCACTGAGGGAGGCATCCTTGGCTGTTCCTGGGCCACGGATGGTGCTGTCCACGCCCACTGTGGAAGTCTGTGGGCTCTGGCAGACGCCCTTTATCAGGTGGAGGACATGTCCTCTCTCCTGCTGCCGAGGGCTCTTGTCAGGAAGGGCGTGAGTCTCCCACGTGTTTGTCAGTGTGACCATCATGTGGGGTCTGTCCCTTAAAAGGTGCTGAGCTGAATCGCACTGACTTTCAGAAGGTAGAGCAGCCTTGGCCGTGGCGTGTTACCCTCTGTAGACACTGCCGGGCGTCTCTGCCCGTGTCGCATGGGAAGTTGTGTGGTTGGTCTGTGTTGCTGTTCCTCTTGTTGTGTCCTTGTCAGGGGGATGTCGCACTCGGTGGCTTGGAGGCCGTCAGCGCTGTTTCTTCTTTAGACGTCTGGGCGAGTCCACCACAGAGCCCTCTGGGCCTTCAGCATTTTTGTGGCAGTGTCGCAATTATGGATTCCATTTCGGCAACACGCACAGCAGCGTTCAGACCTGGTGCCTGTCTGTCGGTTGTGCTCCATTTTATCTTGCAAGGCACCGTTCCCATGATTTCAGACCCCACCTGTGTTGGTGTAAAGTCATCATACCTGCTCGGCACGCTGCCCCGCGGTACAGGCCCCCTCCCCGTCTCCCGCCGGTGCTCCGTGCTCCTCTTCCTTTGCTCCACCTTGCTGGGACGCTGCCAGCTGTATGAGTCTTTTTTTCGGGGTGAGGGTTTACGGAGATGTAACCCACATACCGCGCAGTTGACCCAGTAGAGCCCAGGACTCAGCGGGGCCCTTGCCCTGTCGCCTGGGAAGCAGCCCCGCCCCGGAGCCCCCGTGTCTCGGGCCACGGTCTGCGGTCTGTCCGGCTCTGTGGGTCTGTTCTGGGCGGCTCAGGGGGTGCAGGCGCACGCGCAGGATGTCGTGGGCACTCCATGTTAAACCGTGTGCGGCACCACCAGGTGGTTGTGCCCATGCCCGCCCACGGAGGGGGCGCCTCTGTGTCCTCCCGAGGAGCCAGACTTCTGCCTGGTCATTGACCTGTGGTGCACGCTTACTTTCTGTGTCATTGATTGCTTTCTGTTTTTCTTCTCCTTCTGTTTTCTTTGGGTTTGACTTACTATTTTTCTTGCTTCCAAGACCGATGCTCAGGTTCTTGATTGTAGTCTTTCTGTTTTTCTAGTAACAGCACTTGAGACTCTGAATTTCCCTCTAGACCGAGCTTAGTGACATCACACAGCTTTGATGTGTCACCTTCTTATCATCACTCTGCTCCAGAATATTTTCTAATTGTCATTGTTACTTTGTCTCAGGTCCCTGAGTCCCGTAGAAGTCTACTGAGTGTTTTGAGAACAGTTGGGGGTTTTCTTATCTTTGTATGATCAGTTTCCAGCGCAGCTGTGTGTGGGCCCGGGCATCCACCGAACGTGGTCCCGCATTTCCTGTGCCTTGATTCGCAGCTCAGCGCATGGTCCACTGGTAGTGGTATGTTTCGGGAGAATGCCTGTCCATGGTTGCTGGGCAGAGTGCTCTTGGAATACCAATCAGGTCACGGTCACCTCATCCCTGCTGACATCTGCCTGCCAGACGAGAAGGAGAGCGCTGAGCCTCTCGCGTCTTTCCCCCGACCCCGCTGGCTCCTGTTGTGCTGGGGCGGCCTTGTTGGGAGGATGCAGACCGGACACGGTCTCTCCCCTGGGGGGGATGACTCTGAGCCTCACGGAACATCCCCTGATGACCGAGCACCTCTCCCTGCGATTCTCCTGCATCCGACGCGGTCCAGGGACACCTGCGCTCTCTCTTCGTGTGTGCGCGGTCCGTCTCTTCCATCTGGAGATCCGGTCCCTCCTGACATAGTTCACACTGTCTCCTGTGAGCAGCGTATAACTGTGTGTGTCTCTAATTTTTTAATCCAGTCTTAAAATATTAAACGTCTTACTGGTATATTTGTGTTTAATTCCACCACTGTTTTTCTGTTCATTCCATTAGTCTTTGGTTCTCTCCTTCTCGCCACCTGTCAGAGAAGTCGGGTATTTTGTCCTGTTTTCCTTTAAACAGCTTGTCTGTTCTGCACATACTTGTCACCGTTTTGCCCACCGCCCTAGTGGTTCCATCCTGTGCCGTGACTTCGCAGAGTCTGCCTCACTGCAGCGCCCACGCCCCCCGGGTCACACGGACCACGTGGACCCCACGGC